AGCACGTACCTTCATTGTTTTGAAGTTACAAAAATCCCTTAAATTATAACTTCCTTCTTTCAAAAAAAACATACTCTGAATATTACCTGGAAGTTCTTTATTTTTTGCTTTGAATAGAATTTGTGCTGTTTGGAATTTCACTAGATCGTCAATTTTCAATATTTCAGACTGCAAAAATAGTGAGAACTATTGTAATTGTAACTGTAACTGTTGTTCCAAATAAAACACTTCTAAACACTCCTTAAAATAATTCACACTTTTTAAGATTAAGGCAAAAGAAGTTTTAGAGAATGATTCTAACAAAATACTTGCAGAAGAAATCCCCGTGCAATGTTTTAAAAACAAAGTTGTGTCATCAGCAAGGTAATCAATGAGAAATGTCCTGTTAGTGATAGAAATGCCCTGTAAGTTGCTTGATTTTATATGTGAGCAGAGCAGCTGAGCAACAAGAAGCAAAAGATATGGTGAAATTGGACAGCCTTTTCTGATGCCTCGTTGCACATTAAATCTGGCTGATGACCCATGTTTAAGCTTAATAGAGCAGTTGGCATTGTTATATAACTACAAACAAGGCAAGGCTTTTATGTGAATAATGTAAAAACTGATGTTCAACCGTGTCAAAGGCGTTAAAAAAAAACCTAAAAACAGAATATAGCCATTATCTGGAATTAGTTATGACTAATTCAACATATCCAAGATAAGCCTGATATTATTGGAAATATGTCTGTTAGGTAAAAAGACAAATTGCTCTTCATCAGTTATTGACTCTAACACCGGTTTGATTCTCTGTGCAAAGACAAGGACCAAAATTTTGTAATTATTATTCAATAAACAAATAGGACGCCAGCTGTCTATTAAAAGCAAATCTTTTTTAGGTTTGGGAATTAGAGTAATTAATCCTTGAGTCATACGCCAGGGTAATGCATCAACTGATATACATTCATAACTGAGGATGAAATAATTTATAGAACTCAGATGACAAGCTATCCGTCCCATTTGTTATTTTTCAGCCTTCTTATAGATTCCAAAAGGTTGATTCTGTTCATCTGGACAAAGTGTTTTCAGTGGGAGAAACTTTTCATCACTCATCCAAGTGACTTCTTCAGTCTCAGCTGACTGCAGGCTTCCCCAACCTTATAAACAGTACTTTTGCACAATAACTGAAACCAGCCCACTGAATAAACAATGGGCTGTGAGGTCAGTTCCTTAATCATTAATATGAACATTGTCATGACCATTGATCAACAACCACTGATCAAATACCATTGATCAATGGCTAGGAGTACTATTCACAGATTTTTTTGACAGATAATAGTGTCACATAAATCCTCACCTTCCTTCCAGTTTGTGAGTGTTTTGTAAAGAGTTTAAAAAGGTCAGAGCATCACTGCGTATAAAGTTTTCTTTATAATAAGATGAACATGAATTAGTTATCATTTTCAGGTTATCAGTTACCACTTCTTCTATTCTTAAATGAGTAATTGTTTTCAATTTTGCATGATACTTTTATAACTTAAAAGTATGAAGAATTCTGCTCTTCTTTCTCCATCGGTCGTTTCCTAGACCTTACAAATGCCCCTGCCTACTTTCCTCCTATATACTTTGTCCAGAACGTTTCTTGATTCTAGTGGTTGTCGTCTGTTCTATTCTGCGCATGTCCGTTCTGTCTTCGCGCATGTGCAGTTCATTGCTTAGGAAGAAACGGGAAGATGTCTCTGACGAGGTGAGCTTCACGACAAAGCCTTTTGTAGTTATAAATTGCAAAACTGTTAGGAAATAAGATATCGATTCAACCGATTGGTTTCTGGTGTGTAGACTAGGATTAACGTATCACACTGATATTTGTGGTATGTACGCTGTCGTTTCTGTATCTGATTTAGTCGATGCCAACGGCTACGGCTAGCAAGTAAAAATGTCGCGAGTTCCACATTTAGCATAGCTAGCTTATCAGCACGCAGTTGTGGTCACGATATGATGTAGTTCGTTGTGTAGACGTAGTTTAGGCAGCCACGTGTTTAAGTTTGCTTCTTTAACATTTTCTCTTAACTTACCTTGATCATTAGCTGTTTGAACTGACACTTACACGCGTGTCTTAATTAACCTCGAAGCTACTTGTTGTCACTAGCGGCTAATGCTAGCCAGGGCTTAGAGCGCCTGTGTTACTGTTCATCACTTTGAGACTTACATGAGGATTCCTGTGTGTTCAGCTTTTTACCGGCGCCGACCCAGCTGTCCCAAGATCAGTTGGAGGCAGAGGAGAAGCTCCGGGCCCAGAAGTCCTACTCTACCGCCCTGGTTGCATCCCGTAGAGAGCCCCCTCCTTATGGACACAGAAAAGGCTGGATACCTCGCTCACTCGAGGTAAAACCTCTTGCTACTATGGTATAAGGTTTCTTGTTTGGCTCGCTTATAGTTGGGTCCCTTTTTGTCTAACCTCTACGGTTTGAAGATGAAATCAACTCTGAGTTTTCACTGCAAAATATGTGTTTCTGCAGGACTTTGGAGATGGAGGTGCTTTCCCAGAGATCCATGTGGCTCAGTTTCCTCTGGAGATGGGTAGAAAGAAGAAGACATCAAATGCCCTGGCAGTACAAGTGGACGCAGAAGGAAAGATTAAATATGATGCCATTGCAAGACAAGGACAGGGAAAGGATAAGGTATATGGGCATTTTATCCCTTTGACAGTTAGCAGGGATCCTCTCAATACAATCCAAGGATTTGTCTTTAAATCATAATATAAAAATCAGCAATTCTTTTAAGGCCTGAATAAAACCTCTGTCATGTACATCGCTTTCACACGGCCAGAAAATGACTTTTAGGCTTTAGTTTATTTGCATCTCTGGCTCTGTTTTCATTTTAAAAAGTGGTATTCCTTTATTGGTTTCATTTTTCATGCTTATAGGTGATCTTCAGTAAATACACAGACCTGCTTCCAAAGGAAGTTCTCAATGAAGATGCTCCAGGACTACAGAAGCCAGATGAGGAGGCTATACAAGAGGTAAGAGCACGTCGCCCTCAGAATTACTTTAGATGTGAGTGCTCACTTGTCATTTTTAGAACCATTTACCAAAGAAGCAAGTAAAACTTTTATATAAAGCCGTCACAAAGTGCTTTTCAGAGGTGTCGATGATGTCAAAGAAAAAATGGACAACGTATATTTTTGTCCCAGTAAAGCTGCTGAGCGAGTGAAACAATTTGTCATAATTAGTTTTGACAACTTTGTATTTAGACTTTTTAAACTTAATTAGTAAGAAGTGTTGGACACCAGGATGACTGCTTATCTTTAAGATTCGTTTTAGTTGTCATTGTGAAATACAAGGTTGTCTAACAAAATTACTGATTCAAGTCTATTTAATCCTCCTGCAAACTAAACCATAAAGACCTAAATGAATGAATAAATAAGTAAAGAAAATAAAAAGACAGTTCAGGCTGTAGTATTTTACTGTACTTGAGATATTACTGATTCTTAGTAGATCAAAGCCTGCAATTGTTTGAGATTGTTCATCTCCCGATTTTGCACCATGCTCAACCTTCATCAGTTTATGTTGTTTCCAGTCAGGATGCTTTCTTACTACTAAATGTTTGAGAAGCACAGTTTCTCTTGTGTCATGTGACTGCTTTTCTTGAATCTGGAATGTAAACATGATCATCCTTTTGTAGCTCACAGAGAAGACCCGTGCAGCCCTGGAGAAGCAGGTGTCTCAAAAAATCGCTGCTGCCATGCCTGTAAGAGCCGCAGACAAACAAGCTCCTGCACAGTACATCAGGTATGTATTAGTCAGAAGATGATCAACACTGCACACAGTCAGGGAGGAGGGTCGGAAAGTTGACTTCCAGTTTCTTTACTGCTCTGTAGCACATGGACCTGAGGCCTTCTTTCAGTTCTACTCCCGTTCTTAGATTCTTTTAACGTGGGTACAACAGCTTTTGGGTACAGCTTATTAACAGTAAGCTAATGATGTACACTAGCTAACATAACTACTCGAGTCTAGGGATCAATTCAGATCATCCCCCCATAATTACCTCTTTGTTAATAATGCAGCTCTCCTCTGGATTCACTTGAATTTCAACATACAAAACCAGAGTTTTGCACTTCGACTGTATTAGTTTAGTTAGTTAGTTATTGATTAATTTCTGATCATCCTAAAGGCTGCAATACAAGAACAGACAGTACTGGTGCAAGCAGAATTATGCAGAACCTTAAACACACTGATCAATTAGTCTGACTCGTGATTCTGAGAACATGCATAGATCTGTGTATTTCATGCAAGGCAACAACTTGACAAGAAGCTGTCTGTGAAGGTTCTCAGTCATCCAAGACAAGAAGCTTTTTATTAGAAAAACGTGATGATCAGAGTTTAGCTGATACAATATATCACAAACTCATGATGTGAAATGGAAGATTAACTTATCATTCACATTACCTGCACCACTTTGTCAGTTATGTTAATTGTTTATATAAATGGTCAAATGGTGTATCGCTAACTTGTGGGATAGCATTATGTTTTCTCCTTTCATACAGGATGCTGTTTAAAGGGCTATTAAATGAACTATTGAAGTATTTGGAGAATTCAGAAAGCTCTTATTGCTGCCACGCAACTACATTCAGTGCGGGTTAGGATAAAGTTTTGTCTGTCTGGCACTTTCCCCTCATCCTCTCCCTCTTTTCAAGGTACACCCCGTCCCAACAGGGAGTGGCATTTAATTCAGGGGCCAAACAGAGGGTGATCCGCATGGTGGAAATGCAGAAAGACCCCATGGAACCTCCACGGTTTAAGTAAGTAAACATTATCTCCATCATTAATTTATGTAATTTGAAATGTGTTCATTTAACCTTTAATATCTGTTTTGACACTTTAATACATAGTTATGATATCTAGATGTTTATTTTGTAGAATGTGTACCTTTTATGGGTGTGGTGTTTTGATCACCCTAGAAATTTAAAGTAAGGAGTAAATGAGGACTTCCAAGTAAAATGTGTTAAAAAGTCTTACAGGATTAATTTTTTTTTAAACATCTAAAGTATTTTGCCTGTTAATCTTCGTGCTTCAGAATCAACAAGAAGATTCCTCGCGGACCGCCTTCTCCCCCTGCCCCTGTGATGCATTCTCCAAGCAGAAAGGTAGAGTTGGCTCAAACAGATGTCCGGCTTTTCAGTCATTTTAACGCTGCATCCTAAATCAAGTTGCTTGCGCTATGTTTAATAGTTTCTCAGTTTTGTTACAGATGACGGTCAAGGAGCAGCAAGAGTGGAAGATTCCACCGTGCATCTCCAACTGGAAGAACGCTAAGGTAACATGACATCTGAAATAGTTATTGGGTCGGTTTTGTTTTTTGTACATGACGTGTGCTCACTTTTTTCCTCACTATGCTTGGTTGCGCTCAGGGCTACACCATCCCACTCGACAAACGTCTGGCTGCTGATGGGAGGGGTCTTCAAACGGTTCACATCAATGAAAACTTTGCCAAGCTGGCTGAGGCCCTCTATATTGCTGATAGAAAGGTAACACACGATCGTCAAAGGTTGTGCTTTAAAGTGATCGTTCGATCGTTATATTTAAATGCTGATTATGTCTGCAGGCCAGAGAGGCCGTGGAGATGCGAGCTCAGGTAGAGAAGAAGATGGCTCAGAAGGAGAAGGAAAAGAAGGAGGAGAAGCTGAGGGAGCTGGCCCAAATGGCTCGAGATCGCAGGGCAGGGATCAAAAGTCACGGTGACAAAGGTAAGCCCTGAAGATAAGAGCCAGGAATATAAAATTTATTTAATATTCATGGATGTATCTGTGTGAGGCTTTTCTGAGCAAGTAGAGCGGACTCTGTTATCAGTGCTGTCACCACTTCCAAATCGGGAACATGACCGGCATAAATCATGACAACATTTTTCAGTCTGCCAGTGTTGACAGGACCAGTAAGCTGTGAAATGATGTTCCTGCTTCCCCACTGATAATTCACGTATATTTTTGAGAGGAAAAATCAATGTTTCGTGTCTATTTTCTTCTTCTTTTTTCTTTTTTTTTACTCCTTGAATGGCTGTTTAGCGACAGGACATTGATTGTGATTATAAAATAGAACTTTTCTGTGGTAAATGCTTCATCCATCAGCTGTGATTTTGATTCAAATATTCTAAGGTTACTTCTAAAACCTTCTCTTGTTCTCTCTTTCTGCCCCGCCCTGTTCCTCTGCTCTTTTCACCCCACACTTCTGTTGCACCATTTCACCTCATGTGTACCCCCTTGCTTCTCTCTTCTTCTTTATTATTCGTTTTTTCTTTGCACCCTGTTCTCTCCCTCTTCCCATCCGTCCATCTCTCGCGGCAGGTGGCGAGGACAGCGAGGCCAGGGAGCGTGACGAGATCCGCCACGACAGAAGGAAAGAGAGGCAGCACGACAGGAACATTTCCAGAGCTGCTCCCGATAAGAGGTGCTGGACACGCACTTTAAACGCACCGCATGTGAACTCAACCACCCTTTCCCTCTAAACACGCACGAATGCAGTCCGCACTGCTGAATCATTCATGGAGCTCGAGCTAATACTGAACAAACACAGCAGGATCCAGCAGCGCGCTCAGGATCCACAGACTGTTTGTGCATGGGGGATGCGCCGCCAGTGTGCATTTGTGTGTTAAGTCATGTGTTCTGCACGTCAGGTTGTCAGTTGATGGAACTGTGGGTCCCTGGAGAAGGGAAGAAAGTGAAATTCAGAGGAGAGCTCATTACAGTCACAATTCCAGCTGTGAGAAAGCACAGACCATGTTATCTTAAAATTACTTTTCACTTCACTTTGAGATGACTGTTTGCTGAAGGACAATCAAGATGTTAAAGTCACCAAGAACCGAATAAAAAAACTTCACATTTCAATATATATTTAAGCTTTAAGGCCAGGATACAGAGTTTAAGCATTCATGCAAGTTTCTCCCAGCATTTTTCCAATATATTTTGATGTATTATATAACATGACATTGAAATGACACTTTTATTCTCTTTACATTTTTGAAGCTGTAGCACTCACATTATTACAGCACTTTTAAAGAAAGTTAAAGTAAACTTTCTCTAAAGTTTTCCACGAGTCATTTCTTCTATCTTGTCTTTGATTTCTGCTGAACATCCCTTTGATTTTGTCTTTCCGCGTCCCAGGTCGAAGCTGCAGAGAGATCAGGACAGGGACGTCAGCGAGCTCATCGCTCTGGGCAAGCCCAACCCTCGATCCTCCAGCGAGGCGCAATATGACCAGAGACTCTTCAATCAGAGCAAGGTTGGAATGATTCTCACGTTTTCAGTTCCTCCACTCCAGCGTTCACATCTTGGGTTTTTTGCTGTGAAGATAAATGTAGCTGAAAGTTTCAGTTCCAGATCAAACTGGATCTTAGTCTTTCTTTTTTCCCTCTTTCTTCTCAGGGTATGGACAGCGGCTTTGCTGGTGGTGAAGATGAGACGTACAACGTGTATGACCAGCCTTTCCGCAGTGGCAGAGATATGGCCTCCAACATCTACAGGCCCAGCAAGAATATAGACAAAGATGCTTACGCAGATGATTTGGACTC